AGGCTGGAGTGCAATGGCATGATCTCGGCTCACCGCAACCTCCGCCTCCTGGGTTCAGGCAATTCTCCTGCCTCAGCCTCCTGAGCAGCTGGGATTACAGGCAGGCGCCACCATGCCCAGCTAGTTTTTTGTATTTTTAGTAGAGACGGGGTTTCACCATGTTGACCAGGATGGTCTCGATCTCTTGACCTCGTGATCCACCCGCCTCGGCCTCCCAAAGTGCTGGGATTACAGGCGTGAGCCACCGGGCCCAGCCTAGTTTTTCTTGAATTCTTGAACACATTGCACTATTCTGTCTCTAAATGGCTTCCTGTCCTATGCAAGAAATTGAACTGAGGTAGGATAAGAAATTGATTAGTATGCCAATTGTGTCTTTTTGAACTCATACAGAAAAAGTTTAAAAGTCTAGTTTCACAAACCATTCTTTAACAAGATTAACCTTAAGTGTGCAATCCTTTTCTGTCATAGTTTCATAACTTGTCACAAGGGCACTGAATTTTCCCCCCAATATTTGTTCTCTGGTTTTACTGGGAGGATTGTTGTCTGCCTTCATTGTGTAGTTTTTCTAGGGCTCACAGTACATTATTGGCAAATAATTATAAGGTCTCTATTTCTTGACCCTCACCTGTGGTTCTTGAACAGCTCTAAGGAATCTTACCCCACAGAAGCTGCAGAACTCCTAAAGGATCAGTTTGAACTTCCTGGAACACACGTGGATTTGGGTCTTGCTGGCTCTTATCCACAAAAACCTCCACTAAGTTGGGTCAGAATCCTTCCTCTTGCTCCCCACCTGGAGTAGAATGAGTGGAGTAACACATTTTAGTCTTGCTGTGAAACCAATTGAGTTCTTAACGTCTCTGATCCCTAAGTAAAATAAGACATTTAATTATGCTAGTGAATATAAATGTATCAAATTTTACTTTAAAAGACATTTACTTTAGATTCAATTTTCTAAAAATTGTTTGCAGAAGGCCTGAAACAAAATGACACAATAAGATTAAATTAAATGATGGGTTAACATATGTCTTAACTAATATGTAGTAAATAGGGAGAATTATATAGCAACTTACAGAATATAAGACAAAAAGCCTTACATGAAAAAAAAGGACTTATTTAAATAATTTACAGAAACATCCACAGTGAAAACACAGCTATTGTGGTTTATATACCAAACATTAAAGAAAAGAGTGTCAAATTAAATTGCATTGATTAAATTGTATTATTGCAGTTTGGTTATTAAGATTAACAGGAAGAGACCAAAAGATTACTTGTTATAAGTTTGCTATAAAATTTTCCAAGGGTATATGGTTAAACAGAAGAGAATAATCTCTATAGAGAGGAAGGATGCAGCGCTTGACTGCATGGCTTCTCCTTTGGCCCTCACACTGCTGCCCTTGACTCTCCTGGCACAGGTATGGTCTCATTGAAGACACTAAGTTGAAAGGGAGGCCAAAAAGTTGTTATATTGGAATCCATTTACGCATTGGTGCCTGTCACCAAACTCACACCAAACATCTATAGACTTCTTTAAGAGGTTTTTTATTTGTTTGTTTTTAAACTAGTGCATAATTTTCAAAGCCGCATTCTCACCTAGGAGGAAAGAGCTGCTCTGGGGCTCCCCTAAAATCTTTACCTCCTGAACTCTGGAGGTAGGAAAGCTGTCTCTTCCTATTTATAAAGCAAAACTTTCAGGGGAAGAAAAAAGATTAGAGCTAGGTGTGGAGGCTCGCACCTATAATCCCAGCACTTTGGCATTTTGGGAGGGCGAAGCAGGCAGATTGCTTGAGGCCCAGAGTCCAAGATCAGCCAGGCCAACATGGAGAAATTGAAAATCTCTATTGAAATTATAAAAATTAGCCTGG